AAAATGAAAGACCAACTTCCATAAGTATTACTTCTATTCCTACTATCATTAAGACTTTCACTGGGGTTAAATCAGGTCCTGTTCATTGTCTTAACATTCTACAATTTTCAATTGTGAGAGAATTAACATTCCTTATGATGACCTGAAAATGAAGCTATTTGAACTAGGAATGGCAAAATCACTCATGAAATAAAAAAAAAAAATACCCTCGATAAAAGCTAAAAGCTTTTCTGATCTATTGTCTCACTCAAATTCCAGAATCTCCTTATCTTGAATGTTGGAATTTGACTGTTCTGTTCTCTGACACAGAGCTTACTTACTAATGATGGTCCCTTGCTCGCCAACCTAATGAACGGATGGTCCATTTTAGGTTGGATTGGGTTGTTTCTTGTTACAGGACATTAAAGCAAGTGGGTATTCACTTACAACATACTTTATAATATATTCCAAGAAAATTCTTGGAAGATTTTTCAAAAGGATCAGCATTTGCCCCATGTGTGTTTTTTCACTCTGGAATACCAAAATTAATGATTCCCTGACTCTGTATCTCCCACCCAGAGTAGCTTTAAATAAAATACAGCACACAGAGGCTCATTCCTTATGATGAGCCTTATGATTCCTTAAGCTTACTTACTAATGATGGTCCCTTGCTCGCCAACCTAATGAACGGATGGTCCATTTTAGGTTGGATTGGGTTGTTTCTTGTTACAGGACATTAAAGCAAGTGGGTATTCACTTACAACATACTTTATAATATATTCCAAGAAAATTCTTGGAAGATTTTTCAAAAGGATCAGCATTTGCCCCATGTGTGTTTTTTCACTCTGGAATACCAAAATTAATGATTCCCTGACTCTGTATCTCCCACCCAGAGTAGCTTTAAATAAAATACAGCACACAGAGGCTCATTCCTTATGATGAGCCTTATGATTCCTTATGATTCCTTATAATTTATTGATCTTTCACTTATTTGGTGTTTCTATGAAGGAAAAAAAAGTGTTTTAAAGCTTAAGTGTCTTATTTATAAAGTATGGGAAAAAGTAGAAATATGTGTTGAGTAAACCCAGGTTGCCTGAGAGCCTTTTTTGCTATAGTTTTTAAAAAAGAAAGTCGTGCCTAAAAGAATAATTCTCAATATTTTCCCCATAGTGAAGCCTTGTAATTCATATGAATTCTGAACCGAGACTTTTTGCATCTCATTTTCTCATTAGGTTTTATTACAGTCAACAAAACTTTCAATGGTGAATTACTTCCCTTCTCAAGGGTACACCAGACTCCCATAATGTCTGTGCAATCTAAAATAATGAAATGGGTTTTAACTAAGCTTCAGGGATTAGAAAGAAGGAAAGTGGGTAGAAGGCAGTAGGGCCTTCTCATCCCTGTGTTAACCAAAGTATAGTTTTCCTGGTCCTTTTTCTTGCCTAAGAAAAAACAGAATTTAAAAACAGAAATGTCAATTGTCTTGAAACTCCATTTTAAAATCATTTAAATATTTCTCCTTTAAATTATCTTGAAAATTAAGTCACTTCCACAAGAAATATGGACAAATTGGCATTAAACCCAGGCTCAGCTAGGACTTAGTGTAGTAAATAAGTGCTTTAAAATGTAGTCAAAGTGTTGAGAAATGACATCTCCATGCAATCAGGCCAGAAGCACTAACATAAAAACGCATTGTTTTGTTTAACACTGAAAAGCATTTTGTTTCACAGGCTTGTATTAAGCCATCCATTTATAAGAGTTGTTTAATGTTTACTATGTATCAGCCATAAGATTGGTTCTTGCCCTCAAAGAACTTACGATTTAGTTGAGAAACCAAAACTTAACATGATTTTAAAAAGAAAGGAGCAGAGAATAACAGTATAATTGTCAATGTGATACAGATGCTAAGTGACCTAGGAGATCAGAGGAAGAGAAAGATCGCCAAAGGCTGGAACTGTCAAGAATATATATTTTCAATAAACTCTTAAAGTGATGCCAAATTTAAAAGTTGTTATAAGTGCTCTTTATTTGTAATTTTAAAGTGTTTACGTGATTTGCCATTGTTTTCCAACCAGGAGCTGTTCAGAAGGGCATCAGTGGAACAGTTGAAGCTGGCAGGAGATATGTTGTCAGCATACCCTGGATTTGCTAATGAGGGAAGAAGACATACTTTCTTGTTGGTTAACAGATGCAATAATTAAACAGATCTTTCAGAGGGAATGTGAGGTTTAATTAAGTGGAATAGGGAACCCTGGGTGTAATTTTTGATGTAGGTTGTTTCTATTAAATTTTTTTCTTCATGCTAAACAAATTCTGTTTTGGAGCTGAGTTCAGCTGGAAAAAGTTTGTTTTTTTTTTTAATTTTTTGAAATCTATGTTCACAAATTATTTCCCTTCATTAGAAAAGTGGATGAAAATTTCAAGGTATATTATCAAGACTATGAGAATTTTCTAACTCCTAAAAATGATGGTCAGGCGGAAACTGGAGACATTTAGCATCCTCGATAATTGAGGCATCTATATGTTTTGAAATCGTGAAACTTCAAATGCTCATTGACAGTCTTTGTATTAAAATGCTCTATACTTTATAGTTTAGGCAAGATCCTCATCTCTTTACATTTTCTAATTTTTTAGTCTTCGAAGCGCAGGCAGTTTGAGTTATGTTAGATTTGTTACAATAGAGTTTAAACTGCTAAAATAGAGGCATGTCTCATCTTGTGTTTTGAGTAACTTTAGGTAAGTTTAGAGAATTGTAGTAAGGATTTTTTTTTTTTTTTTCCATACTTGACTGTGTTCCGGGTCTTCCCAAGAAATGTCAGTTATTTCCCCAATTCTAAACAGCGGGACTCTTTCGTAACAGTTGTACAACCAGGCAAAAGAGCACACTCTCGTGTTCCCTTAAGGGGAGGAAACCTGCAGTAATGTGAGATAATTAAATTTAGTCTTGGAAAAGTCTTCTTTGAAACGTTCTAATCAAGACTTCCAGCTTTCTGAGTGTGTGTGCGCTTGATTCTTTAATTCTTCCTGGTGCCGGTTTTGCATTTCTAATGAAAGTAAACTGACAAAGCTTGAAAGTGGTCTAAGGAGCAAAACAAAGCCAGCAAGCATGCTTCAAGTGCGCCAAGATTAATCAATATTCCAGAAACCTCGGGTTTCCCCCCTCCTTCCCTGTGGTGTTTTCATTTTTCCCCTCTCCCCCTTGCCCGGGCACAGACTCCTCCCCTTTTCTTAAGTTGCCCCTATAGTAAGTTGCAGTTGCGGCGCACATGCATGCCTGGCTCTCTGCGTTTTGTTACTCCACTGTACCTGCTGGGAGCTCACCTTGTCATTGCCTGGGGTATCTTCCACCCATTACAAAATCAGAAAAGGTAAGCCTAACTTGCTGTGTTCCTGCTGGGCTTAATATCTCTTTCCACTTCCCTGCCAATGTATTTTGCTTCTCAAGCAGAGGAATAGCGAGAGTAAAAGCTAGCCATTTTGGTAGATTAAACCCATGTTAGCAATTTAATGTAATGAGCGTGTGGTGTCTATTTATGCCGTGTCCTCTCTCAGTTTGAAGTGAGTCATCCGAGGTGGACTGGGGGCAGACTGTAGTTCGAGATCTAGAAAAGAATCAAGGCTGAGCTGCTGTGTTTAAAAGTGACTAGTAAAGAGAATCAGAGATTAGTTAAAAAAAAAAAATTCTGGTCTATCGCGTCTCCCCTTCCCTTCTCTCTAGACTTTTAATCTGCTGCGAAGTTTTAAACAAGTTGTAGGTCATATTACCACTGAGTTTAACTTGCAATTTGCGTTACAAGTCAAAACTGTTAAGACAAATCTTTTTTTCCACACTTGATTTGTCGAAAAGCTGCGGAGGATCCTCTGCCTTCCAGTTATACCTCCCCCGCCAACGCGCACGCTGGCTGCCTGCGCTGCCAGCTGCACACACATCTGAATTGTACTTGGATTGATCGTGGGGAAGATTATGAATTAGAAATTTTATAAAGCAGTAGGAGAAATTCCTTGATTTTTCAAAACAGCTGATTTCCAACAAGGAGAGATTAATTTAGTTTATTTGAATAACCTCAGGAACCATTTAAAGAAACTAGAACGACGCATTGTAATGTTTGGAATGAAAACTAGATTCGTCACCTCATCTGTTCTAGAAATCCTAAATACTTAAAATACTTAAAAGTTGGTGATGCTTTCTTTCTCAGAAGATGGTAGTATGTTCTCCACAAGGACAAATGCTACTTTGGACTTTAACTTGCAGTAAGAATGAAAATGAATCATGATTTCAGATCATTTATAGATGTGCCCAGACTACTTTGCTTATTTCATGGAAAAAAAATTTTTAATTGCCTTGTAAATGGTTAAATGCATTTCCTGAGTCCTGAGGATATTTGGGTTCTTTTCATGACAGTATTTACTAATTGATATATCATGTGCTTTTTTTTAATTAAGGAAAATAGTTACTTTTTATATAGAACAGAAAGCTCCAACTGTGAAATATCAGTATCTTAATTCATTTTGTCGACCTGGTTATGCCTTCACCAGGCATACAGCATAAGCCATCAAGTAATTATTCATTATTTCCTGTGCATTCAGTTGGACATTTATTGAGCGTGGACATTGTACAAAGCACTCAGCTAGGTTCTGGGGGACAGGATGAGGGTCACACTAGCTCTAATGAACCCAATTGGAAGAGGAAGGACAAATTTTTAAAAATAGAACACAAGTTTCTGCTTATATATTCTGAATTTATGCACATCTCTCACACCCGATACAATAAAATGAGCACATTCTAGCCTTGAAACCTGGCATTGTGGTCCACCAGCCCTTGATGCCTGCTGAGATTGTGCAGTCTGCCAACAGTGTGCCCTGCTGTGGGGCAGTGCAGATTTCTCACCCCTGGAGACTGTAACTCTTGTCCTTCTCTCTCCCCTTCTAGTTGTGTTCTCTAACACTAAAGAGGTCTGGCTTTTTGGTGGTGATTCCAAGACACTGAAGTGCAAAGAAGAGACACTCCAGAGAAGTAAAATATGACTAAAAGCAATGGAGAAGAGCCCAGAATGGGGGGCAGGATGGAGAGATTCCAGCAAGGAGTCCGTAAACGCACACTCTTGGCCAAGAAGAAAGTGCAGAACATCACAAAGGAGGATGTTAAAAGTTACCTATTTCGGAATGCTTTTGTGCTGTTCACTGTCACCGCAGTCATTGTGGGTAAGTCCTTGATAACAACAAAAAAAAGTACTGTATCTTGTTTCTCTGGGGAATCTGGCTGCCTGGGAATATTATCAGATGGACTGATTGCAGGTATTCAAAATGATAGGGACAGGCTTTCCTTTGAATTGGAAGAGGTTTTTTTTTCTCTTTAAATGACAGTCTGTTGGTATGTTTAATGCAATATGTAGCAAACACATGGGAATCTGAAAGAAGCATCATAGGCATTATGCACATCAATTGATTGTGTTGAGAGGTGAAATAAGTCAAAGCTTTTCCCATCTCATACAAGGATAAAAGAATGATAATTTACTCATTAGGCCTGACCAGTTAAATAACAATAAAAATAATTAAGTACACACTAGATTTCGCCAAGATGTAATCATTATACATTGTCACTTTCACTTAAAACTATTATAATTAGAACATCCAAAATGAGTTAAGTGTCCCTAATAGTAATTGTATTCTATCTGGTGCTGATTTGAAGCTGCCTATCAGCACTTAGACATAGAGGCTGAATCTTTATGTTTGTTTGTTTATTGAAGTATCATTGATATACAGTCTTACATTGATTTCAAGTATTCAAAACAATGGTTCAACAGCTAACTACATTATTAAATCCTCATCCCAATTAGTGCAGTTACTATATACCAACTTAAGAAGATGTTACAGAATCATTGACAAAATTCTCCATACTGTATTACTATCCCCCTGACCGACTTATATTATCATTGAGAATTTTTGTGCCCCTTTATCCCCCTCACCCTCCCTCCCTACCCACCCAAGGCTGAATCTTTTCTGTGATTGCATTCTCTCATCCAGTGACTGGGAAAGATAAATTGGGGAAATGTTAACACAGATCTCTTTTATTCCTTGTCTTGAAGCACCTGCCGTAAATAGCTCTAACTTTTTTTGAAACATTTTAGCCTCTTACAAAGTTAGCCTTGTTAACAGCAATCTGTACTAATTAAACATTATTATTTTGCTTGACTTATTTGTATCTGAAATTAGAGTTTATTACTTGTGGGTGGCATCGATCCTACTTTAAAATAAGGCCAAAAAAATCATACTTACTTAGAATGTAAGCCAATGCTATATTGTAAAAAATGTTCTAACTTTAATTTCTACTATCTGTCACCAAAAAAAAAGGCATTCATGTAAAGTTTTAATCTGTACCTTGAAGGTTGCTAAGATTTCCATCAAATATAAATAGATATTGATAATAAAACCTAAGAAAATTCTGCAGCATATAAATAAAAATATAACTTAATCCAATAAAAATAGGGTTCTTAAATTGAAGACAAACAGGAATAGAGCAGAAAAGTAGTTTGTCACAATACTTTAGATATATTCCATTTCAAAATATTTTGCTCTACTTTAGAAATAGTTGGTGATTAATGACTGTTCAATTAGTTTTAGACATGTTCAAAGAGAAAGAGTCCTGAATAACTCAGGGAAGCAATGCCTTTCTTTAGTAGGTTTTCAGGTTTGAATGCATTCCTGAAAGAAGTATTTCAGACCTGTATCAGTGTCTTGGAAGTTGATGCAAAATGCAGTATTTTCACCTTGTTTTTTGCTTTTAATTACACTTGTTGTCAAGCCAAGCAAAAGCTGCATAATAATAATAGTTGAACATTTATATAGTACTATTCCAGGTATTTCATTTTATAGATGAGAAAATTGAATATTGACAGCTCAAGCAACTTGTCCAAAATCATATAGTTAGTAAATATGAGAGCTGGAAATCAAACTCAGGCTGTCTAGAGCTAGAGAATATTCCCTAACCATTCTTACCATCCTGCCTTTCTGCTCTGTTAACTAGTTGACATCTTGTGAGAAATGCCACAAAGAGAAATGCTGCTGTGTCTTGATAGAGGCCAATCAGCAAGCAGAACTTGATGCATTCACATACTGTTGTTATTTTACTATACGATTTACCCAGTTAAACTCAGTGGAAAACTTATAATTCTCCTACAAATGATTAAGCCATGTCCCTATCATAAGTTTAACAAATAACCATTAATTTTGCAATCCTATATGTATAATAATAGAGGTCAGTGATACTGAAGTACATTTGGAAAAGATGCAGAAAGCTTTATTCAAAATGGTGTTTGAAAAACCAGAATAATTCCACTTCTAGGACAGAAATGTTTCAGAGGAGGGGAATGGAAAGTAATAAAACCTGAACATGGAAAGCAGATTGATAAAGAAGGGAGTTCCTAAGTGACTACAAAGAAATAATGTCTCTCACAGAAGGACAACGATAAGGTCAGGGCTTAAGAGTCCATTTTCTCTGTGAGTTCTGGGATCATTTCCTAGGCCCAGTGAGGACTTGCCTAAGATTTGTGAGAACTGCAATGATTTGGCTGAGCTGGGGTAAATAACTTGGCAGGATGCTCTCATGGTCAGCTTTACTAATGGAAATTGAGGAGGTAGAAGGGACAAGAAGGCACTAAAAAGAACCAAAGCAAAAGAGCTCATTGAGAGTCAGAGAGAACACTGAGTCTACACCAAAGACCTGGAATCACAAATAGACAACCTAACAGCAGATTTAGGAGGGAAGGAAGAACCCTTCAGTTATCTCTTGGTGCCTTTTCCACTGAAGGCCCAATGGAAACAGAAGATCCATTTAGCTTGTCACAGGGTACCATGTCTAGACGAGCCCCAAAAGAAATAATAGGGAAAGAACATGGCTGGACATCAACTCTCTAGCTTATTTGCTGTGGCACAAGATAAAATCAGAAGGAGGCTGGCAAGGAAGAAACAGTTATTCTCCCCAAAGATGAGATGAGAAGAACTATAGCTGCTACTTCATTTTCAAATTCTTAGGTTTTAATCATTTTTAGTAAAAAAAATACCTGGAAAATCTATATGTATGGGGTGAAATTTTTGTTCGGTATGTTTTGTTTTGTCTTTTGGAAATAAAATGAACATGCATTTAGCACGTGGAACTAGAAACCAGAAAAACATTATGGAGAAAGAGAAAAGACAGGAACCCATATATTCAGCATATAGTAAAGAACCATAAATACTGCAATACCAATTCCTCTACCAGCACAGGCATAGAACCAATTGTGCCATTTGATGGCATCTCTAAGAAGTGATATTTCTAATGTCATTTCTAAGTGATGTCAAAGTCTGAATGTGCCGTGCTATGAGAAAGCCATGTAATGGGAGCGGATTAGGAACCTAAGAGAACCAATCCCAAGTGCTAAGTTCCTCTGAGAGGGTTCATTATTGAAGCATTAGACAAAGTGGCTTCCAGAACTGTTGCAGACATCTGTCTGACAAAAACCACACCAAGAAGAGTGGTTACTGGCTGTCTTCCTCCAGGAAGCACTTTCTAATTTCAAATTGTGGTAAGTTGTGTTAGAGTGACCTCAGACATCTCACTGAAAGAAAGAGAAAGTCCTTTGTGATGTTTAAGTCACCGAATACCCACTCTCTCCATGTCCAGGGAATGAATAGCATAATAAAAATGAAATCTCAGGCCAAAGAATTATGAAGAAATGGGTCATAAGATCAGTTGCAAGGGGAAAGAATCTGTAAATAGAATTAAATAGAATTGCATAGAACTGCCTGGTGGTTTTAAAGGAGTTCACAATCGCAGCAACTAGCACCTTTATCTGCTGTTGGTCTTCACACGCACACACAGAGTTTATGTTTGGGCTGTCCTTTATCTGGATTTGAGAGAAATTGGTGACTTTTCAGGAAAGAAAACAAACTGACTAGATTTCACACCATTCCCTAATAGTCTTTGGCAATAAATTTAAATTTCAATACAATTCAATAATATCTCTGAAAGATACACAAGAAACTGGTCACCCTGGCTGCATCTCGGATAGGAGGTGGGCATTTGGGGAATGAAATGGAAGCAATAATACTTTCCTCCAAACAAGTTTTTTTATAGATTGAATTTTTACCACATTCATATTCAATCTACTATTATCTAGTATCTGCTAAATAAATTAAGTAACTATTGTTTTTAGTTCAATGCCATTCAGCAATTCAACAAATACTGAAGTAGTGTATCTGTCCCTGTGCTATGCAATGAGGAGTCTGCCCTCAGGTAGTTTAGTAGGAGAGATGGATTTAAGATGAGATAACAAAGGAATATACAAGGTTCTGAGGTAGTGATAGGGAAATTTATAACTCTGAAGATCTTTTTAATGAGATCATATTATGCCCACTCTTCTGGATAATATGTGATATCTTTCTGTGTTGGGACTTTAGAAATCCCACTTTCTTATTAACAACCACTCTGGGAGCCGTAGATGTGCCTGTAGGGGAAAAAAATAAAAGTGCAGCTTCTGATGAAGGATTGGCCTGGATTCATATGCCAGTTTATTATTTGATAGCTGTGTGATCCTAAAGAAGGCATTTTACTGCTCTGAGCCTCAGTGTCTTCACCTGTTATTACGCATAAAACATATATTGCCAACAGTTACACTGTGTGCTAAGCACTACTGCAAGTTGTTAGTATATTTGCTTTATTTAATCCTTGCAACAAACCAGACAGGGAGGTATTTTTATCTCATTTTACAGATGAGGAAACTGAAGCTCAAATACTTATCTCACAGTTGATGCAAATTGATTGGGATTCCAATCTACCATCTGGCTCCAAATTCATACTCTTTTCCACTACACTGCTCTGAGTGCTAGTCCCTGACCATTCTTGTTTTATTATAGCAATTAGCTAGGGGTTTGCACTGAAAAACAGGGGGAATGGGAAGGAGAGGTTGAATCAAGACCTCATTACAGGAGTCACTCCTGAGTCCTGGTGATTGATTGCATGTGAGAGTTGACAGAAAAGGTGGACTACAGGCCAATGGTCCAGTTTCTGGCTTGGGGACCAGGTGGTGATGATACCACTGGTAGAGGAAGAAATACAGGAAGATGATTGGTGAGGAAGGGGCGACAACAAGTTTGGTTCGGGGGAATGTTGAATTTAAGATGTGGCACGCCACTGCAGTAAGGAGAGTGCAAGAGGCTCGCTGTAA